CCAGTGACGCTCATAGTGAGCGTTAAAGGCTTCGAGGGGAAGGATGGAGAGAATTCCCTGCTCTGGGTGAGAGAGGTCGAGATGGCCACCGCATCTCACCATGCTCCAGACCGAGCAACAACGCGTGGCGCTAGCCATTTCAAAGCTAGGTGGTCGAGCGCGAAAATGAGCACTAACGTGCGGCACTTCGGTCGAAGCTGCGTTTCCTCCTGGACGGAGCTGAAATTGTAGCTCTCACAAGTGTTCTCGCCGCCTAACCAGGAATATCGCGTGCGATCGCGTTTTCTTGCCACCCGACAGGGCGACAAGGACTTAATGGACTTTGTCCAAGAGATGCGTACTCTCATTTCCGGGATGGCAGCAAATCTCCTTCTTAGGGCGGTCACAGTGACCGTCTTTATGGAAGGCCTCCGCATTGGCGTGACCAGAAAAGAAAGTCTTCCGTGTGAATCCATCTTCATTTGAAAAGGCGGTAAATGTTGCATCGAATGCCGAATTCAATTTCAAGTCGGCACGACTTAGCTGGAATGCACACTCCAACAGCTCGTCGAGAGGGCCTATGCCCATAGATCTCAGCTATGCAGAGGACGAGGGAGCAGAGCTCCGAGCTGTTGGTCAGCACACAAACACACGACGGCGTTTTGTCTGCGGAGACACCCGTGACCTTCGGAACGGTTGCCCTCTGCGCAAGGCGCGTCACGATTCTTCGAGCCATCGCCCCAATGCCTTCCAGTCTGGTTCGTCGCGGGGAAACGACACCACCCAGTAGGCGCGGGGCGACCTACAGGGGAAGAACTAGGTTCTGTTGAGCCTCAGGGCAGCCCCGGAGAGCTCTGTGCTCTTGAACACGGAACGTGTATGCAAACCGGGCTTGCTGGTCGTGAAGGCGACCGTAATGGGGTTCGAAAAGCCATGGAAGATCCTCATCGATTCTGGGGCGTCGAGCAATTATGCTCAACGCTCCACGATGGAAGAAAGTCAGCTGTATGCTGAGGCGCTGAATGCGCGGTTGGGTGATATCGTCACTGTTTGCCTAGCGACGGGGACACGTGTCACGGTCCCGAAGGTCCATGTGGGCTTTGGAGTCAAGTTTCTTGTCCTTGATAGCGTGAAACCCTGTCTAGACTTACACTTGGATGCAAGGTATGACCTCATCCTAGAAATGGCATGATTGGAACACCGTGAGCCATAGATTGATTGGAGGTCAAAGACCTTGGGCGCTACGTTCACGTCTCCTGGTGGGGCTTTGGCGAGTCATGAACCCACCTCTGCTAGGAGCAAAAGCGCTATTGGCGAGCGCACTGGACCGAGATAGACATTGGCATATCCGAGTTGGTAGACACGAACTGTTCATTGTACAGGAGTCCCGAGCGTGGATCGAGGGTTGATTGTGGAGTAGCACGTAACCCACTGAGCGCTTCTCAAGGTTTGGAGCTGTCGCTGCATATCATGCGTGACAAGGTCGGCCAAGGGCCGAGGCATCGAGGACGATGCCCCCGTGATGCACGTGAAGTGGCACGTAAACCACTGAGCGCTGCTTGAGTATCAAAAGCAGTCGCTGCATGTCATGCATGATATGGTCGGCCAAGGACCGAGGCATCGAGGGTGAGGCCCCCGTGATGAACGTGAAGCGGCACGTAAACCACTAAGCACTGCTCTCGTTGCGAAGCAGTCGCTGCATGCCATTGATGGTGTGGTCGGACAGAGTCCGAGGAATAGGCGGCCCTTCAGATGCGCGTGGAATGGCAAGTTGTCCACTGGACGAAGACTGCGGTGTAAGCAGCTCTTCGTCGGATGTTGTAGAAAACATCGGAACTCCAAAGGATCGGACAATGAGTGTGACACCAAACGACGCGGATTGCGTGTTCACCCTGGTCTAATAGAGACATAGAATCTCTGTGCAGAGGCAACGGCGACGCCGTATGCTGGCTGCAAGACGCCGGGCGTCATCGCTGATCCCGGGTGTGTCTACCGTGGACGACGGTGCACAGTTGTACACCCTCGACAACGGCATGACGGGAGAGGAAGATGGCGACGTTCGCCTCGAGGCTATGCGTGCAGTAGATGCTCTTCTTGGGCTGGACGAGATGTCCCTTGAAAGTTCGGCAGTCCCTTGAAGGCAGGCGATTTGGCCAATGTGGTCATTGTACGACCGGACGAGGGGATAAAATCTTCATCGTTTCTGGATGAAGCCGTCTTGAAGGACACCAAGGAGTGCTGAACGCACGAAGTGGATCGTCGATCCTACGGAATCCCTTCGATCCGTACTATCCTTTGATAAATAAATTTCAAGACGCCGTCTCAAAAGACCCGCCTTCGGTCCTACCTCCGGACTGCTGTGTGCGTCTTGAGATCGACCTGGTTCCGGGAACCAAATGCTGCGTAACACGCTGATGGCCCCTGCCCAAGGAGCAATGCGACGTCATTGACGCCTTTTTCCGTGCGAAGCACAACGCAGGGATGATACGTTAGAGCAAGTCTCCCCATTCGACACCCACGTTCTGTGTTCGGAAGCCGAACGGCAAGTGGCGTATCGTTCATGCTTACAATACGCTCAATGCTGCCACCATTCCGGCACAAATGTTAATTCCTAGAAAGGATGTTTTTCATAATGTAAGGCGTACAGTGCACTCGACTTGGTTGATAATTATTACTAATTGCTCATGAGAGCGAGTGATATTTCGCTGACAGCGGTGAGCACTCCGAGCGGCATAATCCGGGAGTGCTGGTGATGTCATAAGGGCTCTCAAATGCACTAGCAACATTAAACCGTCTTGTGACGCAGTTGTTCAGGCCCCCCAAGGCGTACGCACAGACATACTTTGACGACATTTTCGTTCATAGTTGTGCCGAGCACGGGAGGACAGATGAGGAGAATCACATCGTCCATCTAAGAGTGGTGCTCAAGTGCATGCGCACGAACAAGCTGTACGCCAATGCAGACAAGTGCATCGTTGGAGCAGAAGAGATTCTCTTTTTATGGTGTTTCATTGGGAAGCGTGGCCTCCGACCGAATCCCGCTAAGGACAAGGCCATTGTAGACTGGCCGCTTCCAAAGAAACAAAAGGACTTGCGTTAGTGGCTTGGTCTCGCCAACTACTTGCACAAATGTAGCGTAAATTACGCAGAAATGGCCCGGCCATTATCCTATATCCTTAAAAGGATGCGGAATGGTGTTGGAACACCGAACATCAGGAGGTTTTTGACGGGGTCAAAGACAGCCTCCTGCATGCACCAACACTGGCGCTACCAGACCCTAATCGTCCTTTCAGTGTCGTATGTGACGCTTCGGACTTTGCCATCGGCTGTGCACTGCTGCAAGCAGACGCCGAGGGGCGAGATCGAGTAATCGCGTTCAAATCTCGATAGCTCAAAGCAGCAGAGAAGAACTACCCAGTTCATGACTAGGAGCTACTTGCGATGAAGTATGCACTTGTCAAGTCTAGGGTCCACCTGCTCGGTCCAAGTCGTTTGTGATCTACACAGATCATACGTCGTTACGCACTACGACTCAGTCGCCCCACCTCTCGCAGAGGATGGATTGATGGCTATTCTTTTTTCGGAAGATAACTTCGAGGTGAAGTATAAGCCGGGAAAGCAGAATGCTTCGGCTGATGCGATGTCACGCAGACCA